CACTCACTCACCCACACACACACACACACACACACACACTCTCTCACTCACACACACACTCACACACACTCTCACACACACACACAAAGGACACTGAGGCAATTTTTATTTTTGCTCTGGTTGCACAAAGAGGGTGAGTGTAATTTAGCTCATACAGGAGCACATCTGTGAGATGAGGAAGTTTTCAGACTCTTATGTGGATGTTTGATTCTCTGTGTGTGTGTGTAGAGCGTCATGCCGCTCTCTGCAGGTCTGTTTAAAAGCGAGCGAAAGAACGCGATTCCTCAGTGTCCGCCGCGGCTACATGTGCAGTTCCTCACACCTGTGTTATGGAGCCGTGTTCCCAATCATTTCCTGAGGGCAGAGGTCACCAGGGTCAGTGAGAGACTGGGCTGGATGGTGCAGAGTTCAGAACCACTGCAGTTCATGACGCTCCATATACCTGAGGAGAACAGGTACAGACACACGCACACACACACACACATAACTCACGCACACACTCACGCACACACACACGCACACACGCACACTCACGCACTCACGCACACACACACGCGCACACGCACACACACTCACGCACACACACGCACACACACTCACGCACACACACACACAAATAAATAATCTTGCTTAATGCTAATGTATGCATACTATTGTTCATTGTTACTTCATGCTTGTTCATAATATAAAAAATAATTTTATGCCCCCCCCAGACATATTAAAAATGTATTAGCATATGTAGAAATTAACATGCCATAAAGTGTTCATTGGTAGTTCATGATATTTAAGTTAACAAATTGAATTTTATTGTAAAAAGTGTAACAATTAGATTTCTTAAGGTATAATTCGGAGATATTCACAAATGTACCACAGCATATAAAAGAACTATTACACATATTAGCGATGGTACTTTAATATAGTAGAGAAACAATACTTTTTATGAAAGCATGATGACATCTGTAATATTTTACAGATTTCAAAAATGAAATAAAAGCAGGACACTGAATTTTGACAGTCGTCAAAGTCAACATAAAATGTTATTCAAAACTCATTTTCACTGTATTACAGTTACATTACGGTATGATCATATTTCTGAGTAAAACATTTATCTGAGATATTCCAAGAGCCAAAAATGTAGGGTGGGTATTTGGAAAAAGATTGAATTGTGAGAAGTACATGTTGCATACTAGAATGTGCGTTTTCAGTCAATTGTGGAGGACTTCTATCTAAAAACACTCCCCTTTGAGGAGGCTTTTTGACTAGTAGGCTAAAGGTCAATGATGAATCATGTGCAATAAGACCAGGAATGTGTATTAGGAATTAAACTAGGGCACTTTTAATTTCATTTTGACTTGAAAGAAGCGACTCACGGAATCTGGATCTCTCTGGTCCTCAAGAAAAGCGGAGAACTCCACCAGTCTGAGTTTAGATGTGCCGATAGATCGGCCCTGCCAGACGGGCACTGTGGGCGCTGGCGCTGGCGGGGGTTCATAACCTACACACACTGAATATTAGCTCTTCTAAACAAACAGAATGCTACATCTGAATGTGAATTGATCCACAAAAAAAAAACATGGCAAGCGGTGACCGACATACTTGAGATTGTAGTTGTGACTGCTGGCTGGATAGGGTACGCTTGCTGAGCAAATGGCTTGATGCTAAAACATAGACAAAGGAGAATTAAGAACAGGAAAATGAGCAGCCTGAAGTTTAGCGGCACTACATACTGAAGAGATTAAGAGGGTTCCAGAGCAAAGAAGAAACAAAGCTGCACAAAGTATTCAAACTTGGATCCAACCCATCCCTGTTTCTGGAAAGGCTTCCTCTATCTCTGATCCCTCAGAGGAAAAGAGCGAAAGCTGGAAGGATCGGGGAAAATACAGACATCAAGAAGAGGAGAACGACAATAAAGCAGACAAAACAGAGACAGGTGGAATAAAGAAGATCTGCATTTCCTGAAGGAATTGCCAGTGCTTGCAAGGCAGCAAAAGAACCACATTAAAGTTTTGGGCTATAAATTTAGTTCTGTGAAAATTAAATGCTGAATCAGATCATAGTCATGACACTCAGTAAAAAATAAGAGTTAGAAATATGATACCCCACCAGCTTTACCTCCTCCTGCTCTCACATTCTCTTAATTTCATTGGATATCGCAACTTTCTGGCTGAAGGACTGTGTGCATACCTGACAACTGGCTGACTACATTTCAAATAAGCTAACTAATTTACAAGTGTGCATACTAGACAGCATTGGCAGCATGCATACATTATAAGTTGTCCATAATGTGCTCCGGGTGTGTGTTCACGGTGTGTGTGTGTTCACTGCTGTGTGTGTGCACTTTGAAATGCAGAATGCAGAGCACTAATTCCGAGTATGGGTCACCATACTTGGCCACGTCACGTCACTTTTATGTCATACCCCACACACACACACACACACACACACACACACACACACAAAATATAGCTAGTGAGTGTCTGTACACAATGTGGACATTAAGAAAATTCTACAGATTCACGTGAAATGTAGCTATTTATTTGTAACCACTAAATGTGCTAAGAAACCACTAGAAATGTGTTTTTATCATAGGTTTTTAATTATTATTCATATCAGTTTAATCAATTGTTAGATGAGTGAGAGTTCAGTAGATAGTTTAAATATGGCTTTAGTCTGAATTATTCCATTCATTTATTTCAAAGGTGGCTCAGTCAGTTTAATTGAACCATTATGTTGTTGTTTCTAATTGATTTTATGTCCAGCTGATGGTTTATTTACTCACCATAGCCTGTTCTTCCATGCACTTGGCGAATATGATGATGTTGAGTTTGAATGAGATGTTGTGTGTCGCTCCTGTCAGGTCTCTGGATATCCTGGAGCTGACGGAGCAGAGAGAGCTGTTGAAGTTTCACTACCACACGCTGCGCTTGTATTCGGCCATCTGTGCTCTGGGGAACAATCGTGTGGCTCACGCGCTCTGCAGTCATGTAGACGAGGCGCAGCTCCTCTACGCCATCCAGAACAAATACATGCCGGGCCTGCTGCGCACCGGATACTACGACCTGCTGATTGACATCCACCTGAGCAGCTACGCCACCGCGCGCCTCATGATGAACTCTGAGTACATTGTGCCCATGACGCCCGAGACCAAGAGCATCACGCTCTTCCCCGACGAGAAGAAGAAGCACGGGCTGCCGGGGATCGGCCTGAGCACCTCCCTGCAGCCGCGCATGCGCTTCTCCTCGCCCAGCTTCGTGGGCGCTGTCGGCGGTCACCACGGTAACGGCGCGGTCGCCGGGGGCGACTGTTTCCAGTACAGCCCCGAGTTCCCGCTGGAGGCGCTGAAGAGCCGCACGATGGAGATGCTGACGGAGGCGGTGCGAGAGGGAAGCTTGCACGTGCGCGACCCTGTGGGCGGCAGCACCGAGTTCCTGTTCGTTCCGCTCATTAAACTCTTCTACACGCTCCTGATCATGGGCATCTTCCACAACGGAGACCTGAAGACCATTCTGCAGCTGATCGAGCCCAGCGTCTTCTCGCAGGATTCCGGGGTGGAGAGCGGAGGCGGGGCGCCAGAGGCGGAGGATGACTGTGGGCGGGGCCAGCTGGAGGGGGGCGGGGCCGAGGAGCACGGCCTGAGAGGAAAGATGCCCAAAGAAGGACTTCTGCAGATGAAGCTTCCTGAACCCGTCAAACTGCAGGTGAGTGAAGAGGATCTGAAAAACATTTTAGCTACCCTTTATTTCAGTAGTAACTTTGCAACTACATGTCAACTATCTCTCATTAGAATATTAGTAGATTGTTAGGGTCTGTAGAATAAGTCATTTGCATTCTTGCAAAGTTGCTTACAGTCAGTACACTGCAAAAAATGCCAATGGGGTAAGCAAAATTTCAAACAAAACAAGATTATTTTGCTTGTTTCAGGCAAAAACTCACTTAATTTTTACATGT